GGAGTATCAGGGGCAGCATAGTGCTGTAGGTAATTCTCTGGACTCATAACACAACACTGCTGTTGTATAGTACTTTGAGTGAGGTACAGTTCTTTTTCACAGTTGCTCCAATCCACCCAGCTGTATGAATGGGGACCGACATTTATGGAAACCTGCAAACCATTGGCCTCCCCTCCCATGGGGGTGCCCTGTGTTCTCAGGTCCACTTGGAAACACCATGGAAACCAGGATAGTCTCTGAGCCACTGTGACTCATCTATGAAACGTGCCTACATATAAAAATAACAAATGCAGGACTGTAGAAATGTAACAATGCCAATATCAAATCAGGTCTTCATGGAATCCAAAAGACCACAAAGACACTGCAAGCAACGACAAATTATGGCAGTAGGCAACTATACTAATTCATGTTAATTATTTATTTTTTACCAAATAATTAACACTATTCACCTTTATCTATTATATTCTGACAACTATTTCCATTCCAGATATACCATGTCAAACAGATTAAAAGAATTTATGAGAGATTTTCACACCTACAGTACAGTTAAACTTACTGTTTGGGTAGGTTTATCAGTTAAGTCCTAATGCTGAACAATGTTGGTGTTCCATGTTCCTAGCCAGATGGTTGTAGCCCAAACACTGGGCCCTTTTACAAAATGGCTGGATGAAGTTTTAGATTCACTTAGCTACGAAACCACCAGATGAGGAAGATGAGCTGAATGGTTTCTTCCAGTTTGTAAACTTCTAATGTTCTACTCCTATAGTAATTATGTTATTGTAATGGAACAAGCGAGATTCACATCTGTTCTCAAAAGGTTGGATTATTTCATTTTGAAAATGCATTGTTTTTTTGCAAACTTATTGAATTTATTGTCAGTTTGCATTATAGTCTTTAGAAACATGTAAACTGAACTTTAGCCATCATTTTAAAATCGTTCTAAAACCCTTTTCTTCCAGTGAATGGAGCAGAGGTACAGTAGTAAAGCATTTAGGAAAATTATAAACACAATGTGTCTCTACAGCATACAGTATGTAACAGTTTTAGATGTTGTAAGTCCAGTGTATTGACATTGAAAAATAAAGGCAAAGAAATTTAGTTTGCATTAGGGGACATTAGCTAATGATATCCCTAGTACCATATTCATCTACAGCAAGCTGATTAATATTCCTGTTTTACGTCAGTCGCATTTTTCCCACATTTGTTTTCACACCTTAGAAATAATAAAGCTACAACACAAGCTTCTGGTGCTTCACTGATAGTATAGAAACATCATTCTAAAAAGTTCAAGATTGATTACAAATCAAAATGATGGAATGTAACAAAACAATTTAGCAACAATTGCATCTGAAATGTAACAGAAGGAAGAGAGATAATTATGTGGTATGTCATTTTGAAAGTATGAAATAACATTGACAATAGTCATTTTTTGACAGATTTATAAATGCCCTTGTCAATGTGAAGCTCCAATCAATAGTGCAGAAAAAGAAATGTGGTTTGAATGGAAATGAAAAGTGTTTTTAACCAATCCATTGTAGAACTTTCTGAAAGGCTGGTATGTATTACATTCTTGTGGAACATAATGTTACGGTTATTGAGTGTGTTGAGAATCTAGAGACAATGGTCAACATCTAGCTAGTGTCAATATTTGCAGTTCTTGGGAGCTTGGAAACAAGAAAGGAAATGAGGTGTTTGCTGAGTTGTAAGGGGTCTGAAACACATTGATCAAAGGAATCTCTGGTTTACCTTGGTTAATTAAGTTCTTTGTAAGTCATCAACAGTCCAGGAATCCAGGATAAAAAGATAGAGAGAGGAAGAGAGAGAAAAGGATGCAGAAGAAGATCATCTTTGAGGATCAGATTGTAGTTAAGTATTTGAATCCCAAGATCTTGCCATTCTGTTGTTTCTAGGAAACTCTGACTTTCTATTTTATGTGGTTAGTGCATGCATTTTTTAGAATAAGGATTGGGTATTCACTTTGTAGCATCTGGATCTATTGAGAGATTTAACACAAGGTAATATTCTGTTTTATTGAGAAGGCAGGTTTACAGTATCTCCCTTTTTGACATGTGTAGGTGTAAAATTGCATTTTTGAATACTTGGTAGAGTCTGGGGGTTTACTGGTTGGTCAGGATGCACAGTAGGCCTCTGAGACCTTGTTTGTAAGTAGAGTAACTTTTATGTTGTGTGTTGTGTTGTGTATTGTTTAGTTTGTGTTGTGTCATTATGAATAAATATTAGTTTATCCCAGTGTGCCTGATTTATTACTCTTTAACCAAAGCAAAGAAAAAGATCTCAAGTGCCTCTAATTAAACCAATCGGGTATATTCTTGATCTGGGTTTCAATTATTTATTGTAATCACTGATTATCTGGTGCTGTCTATTTTTGGCAATCTCTGTTTTCTGTAACCTTCTATTTGTAACAGTTCTTTGCCACTGTTATTTTAGGCTGGTAAATATATTAGGAATTATTTTTCTATGCATTTCTTGCCACATCAGAAATTATGAAGACCTACTTTAAAAATAATGTCAATCTTTAGAACTTGTAAAGGATAAAATGCTATTTTTTCTGCATTTACTAATATACCATACAGTATGTCTTGTATACAGTATTTGTCCTTGTCAGTTGTGTGGATGTACTGAAAATTGTCTTAAAAAGCGAAGGTACTTATTGTTTGTATTGACAAGTCAAGGCATTACCTCATCGCTAAGGAATGTTTTTTTGTATAAAGTAAGGACAGAGTGGAAATGTCTGATGCAGATTAGTACAGATGATACAGATGGTATATTATTTGTTCAATGAAATGTTGCACTCAATAAAAATCAATGCAGCATTTACTGGAAATATTTTATCCCCAAACTGTTCATTCCATGTACAGTGTCATGCTACACTTCTATATGGAATTGTACAAAGTACTTATTGTATATTTCAATAAAATGTTTTACTTAAATTGATTAAAAAAATAGATGTCAATAATGAAAGGCTTATGAGACTTTAATTATTTTTATTATGCATAAATCAGAAAATGAAATAAGCATTGTTGGTAAACCAGACCAAGCATATGAAAGCCAAATATTCTTTCAAACCTTAATGCAAGGCAAACTAATCTAAAAAAACAACTTGTAATGTATTGAAAAAAATATTGCAGTTAGTTAAATATCAATTAAGTATAACATATGCGTAATAAAGGACAGACAGTATTGCCTTGATCATTTTTTCCTTAATTGCACTCCAGGTGCTTCCAAAGGCAAGAAAGTTTACAATCTTTGAAGACTGTTATAAGAAGATGGACAAAATGTGATCTTTAAAAATAGTTTTTAAAAATGATTCATGATACTGTAAGTGGTACACTTTAATCACTTAATTTCATCTCTCCACGGACTTAATTGTAAAATACAGAAAAACCTTAAAAGTTTACGTAAGTAAGAATGCATATCTGACAAAAAAGATGGTACTGCATGTAAGCAACTTGCAATTAAGAAAAGGTTACAATATTTTAATCATCTTCGTCATCATAATACCGATTCATTTTGATTTGTTCTTCCACAGTGAGGGTCTGGGTTTCATCGTTCCAAAGATCATGGCTTTGACCTGTTACAGCAGGCATGTCAGTGACTAAGACATCAAGGTGTACGTCAGTTTTTAATGTATCTGTAGATTCATTTGCATGGATTTTTGCAGTGTCACTCAGCTGAATTCCAAAATCCAGGAGGTCATCTAGAAAAGGATCAATGGGTTTTGCACTTGGAGAACTAACAAACTTCTCCTTTTTAAGGTCAGAATCCAAACTTGAACTAATGGCTATCCCTGAGAATATGTCCTCAAGCAAGCTTGATGTGTCCTGTTTTGGTTCATTTATAGATGAAAACATACTCTTTGGAAATGGATCCATAAACAAGTCATTCATATTAATACTTCCCTTGCTACAATCTTCCAAATATTTGGCACCAGATTTAACAGAATCATCCTCTCTTTCAGTCTGCAGTAAAATATCTTCTGTGACAGCCAAGTCAAATGCCCTATTACTCTCTTTAGGATCACCAGAAGATGAAGCTTCTTTTAAAGCAGGTTCTGGTATAAGAACCTGTGGACCTTCTAAGGTTGCTCCACCATCATCAATATCTTGTGTATGGAATACCTGGTAGTCAGATGACAGGCAGTTGTTGTTGTTATTGGAGTTTAGGTTCTTCTCTCCTGCTGATTCCTGGCTGTCAATTACTGTGACTTGAACCATCTCAGCTTCATCCTCTTTTCCATCTTGCTTTTCTGCTGTTTCAGTAACAACTTCATCACTTTCGTTTCTGTCTTCTTCTCTAGCTTCACTCTGCAAAGTTTCCACCTCCTTGCTATCCAGAACATCCTCAAGCATGTCCTCACTACTTACCTCATTCTCACATATTAATTCATCTTTATTATTCACTTCACTCTTTTCATCATTATGCATCCCAGGCTCTTCATCCTTTTCCACTTCAGGCTCATTCTTTTCCATGATCTGGGTTTCCGTCTCACTAGCCTCGGGAGATAAATCTGTATCTGCTACCGATTCATCAATCTCCTTTGCATCCTCTGCATCTTCTTTATTGATACCACTCTCATTTTCCTCTTCTAACTTATCTTTTCCACTTTCTTCCAAACAGGGCTCCTTCAGCAGAGCTTTCTGTACTGGAATATTCGTGTTGGGTTTTGGAGAACTGTCTTCTGGAGGCCAGTTTGGCTTGACTACTTTTACCTCTTCCTCAATGATAAACACTTTCTTGGGGGTATCTGTCTGGGGAGGCCATTTAATGGACAATTTGTTTGCAGGTTTCTTGGTTTCCTCAAATGGTGTATTATCTTTTTCCTCTGTGGTTGATGTCTGTTTCTCTGTAAGAACAATGCTCTCTGAGCTGGAATTATTTGCGTTGGCTTTTTCTGGTGAGGTGTTGGGTGTAGTATCTTGTGCAGAATTTCTTTGGTTTTTAGAGCTCCATAATTCCTTATGTGGTTTATGTCCAAAGCCTTCATCATAATTACCTTTGGACTTGAATAGCTGTTTGAAATGAGGTTTGCAGTACATTTGTCCATGGAGAGAGGCATAATTGCCTAGGCTGCAAGGAAACATATTCAAATTACTCAATGGCAATTAGAGCAAAAAAATCAAGTGCTTGTACTTACAGTATTTAAAATGTGAAACACCCTTTTCAATAAAATAAAGTAACACTTCATGATAGGAGATGTAAATTTCACGGCTTCTGTATTCAATACAATAAAACTCTGAAACTTATTTTAAGTACAATAGGTATAATTGTAACTTAATAAGCAACACCAGTAGATTTAAACAAAATACTGTATATGATACTTTAAATCGGGTATATTAAGATTTGAATGAAGTTTTTTTTGTTACCCATAAAAGGTTAATTCTTAAATTGCGGGAAGTTGGCATTCAAGGAAATATATTTACTTGGTTTAGAAATTAGTTAATAACGGGACACTGGAGTTCAGATAAGGAGTAAATGATCAAATTGGGGTTATGTAACTCATGGAGTTCCACACGGGTCTGCAATAGGACCATTGATCTGCCTAATTTCTATGAGTAATGTAGAGATTCTAGAAAATGAAGCAAATTCATTTTTATAAATCACTTGCAGAAGCTGAAAAAGAAATGAAAAAGAACTTAAGAGAAATTCAGGACATAAAAGCACAAGGTAACTCACACATAGTGTGTTGTATACTGTAAGTGTAGGGTATTACATAAACTATTAAATATAAAATGGGAAATACTGATCTTGATAAAGCTTTAAATTATGAGAAAGACATACAGTAGGTATATTTTGGGCAGCAAGTTATATAAAAAGATTGTTGCTCTAGAATGGGTTTGTAGTAAGAACAAACAATTACACCTATGGGCTAAAATAACTGATCGTTTTTGTGACTTGAACACAGGGGACTATGATGGCATATTGGCAAAAGTCAACCCTTTGGACTGGAGCAAATTGCCTAGCCATGTTGTAGAAGAACCCTGGCTTCCTTCAAGTAACTGAATTAAATACTTGGATTAATTAACTATTAAAATAAAACAAATGAGCTGTTTGTATTTATAATAGTTCTAATGTTATGTGTGGGAGCAGTCCATCAACCATTAAGTTCAAGTATGATGTAAATATCTAATTAACACAACTTTCTTTGATATTGTTGGACACTATGAGTGTTGCCAGAAATTATTAGGATACACCATACATTGATGTATTATTAATTTAGCCATCAGCTTTCTTTTAGATGACATATTCAAAGCACCAAAACACACCAAACAAGAAAGATACAATGACAGGATTATGTGGAGAGCTGGGACTGCAATCGGAGAGGACAGAGTGATGAAGAAATACAGAAGAGCTAGAGGTAGATGGAATACTAAGCATACAACAAATTTTAGAATCAATGTGTTGCTGATACGGGGATAAAGACTAGTAGCTCATTCTAGATAAAATAAAGCCTTAGATCAGGAGTTAAGTGGGTTATAATGTTTAGAAAGGGCACATATCATAGATGTTATGTACAGTATACAAAGATGATAAGAGCATGCATACAGTTTAACTACAATGTAAAATATTTTAAGACGTCTGTCTGTGAGCATGACAAGCATTACCTTAGTTTACTACTGCAGTATTGGCAGCGGAAACAGGCTTTATGGAAGGTTTGTTTGTCTGCGATTAAACACTCCATCGGATAAACCTTCGTCTGACACAGTGTGCACGTCTCCAGTTCTGGAACTTGAATTTTCTAGAGAAACAAAAAATACATTTTAATCCGAGAGAATCTGCACTTTGTGGAAAGTTTTCATAAATGTTCACACATTCAAATCAGTATTAGCACAGACAATGCCGATTTTTTAAAAAGCTTACTGTTCCTCTGAATTTGATGGGCTTGGATATTGATTTCTTTATTAGACATGAATAAATACTGAGAAAAAATCATATAAGGAACATTTCTAAATGAAAAACATCCCATTGTGAACATAAATAATGATAAGGATGAATTATTCTGCTTCAATTTTGCAACCTGATACTTTGTACTTATTCGACTTATATTATGTCATATTCATAAGGAATGTTAGCAGACTCTTTTCATACCATATTATGTATCATTTACATCTAAATTTAATTGCACTACAGAATAATATTGAACGTATTTCAGATATGACTTTCTGGAAGTATTTTGCTAATACTGTAAATGTAATAATTTAAAATGTTATTACCACAGATTGGAAAACAAGAGAAATAGATACTGTTCAGTGTAGCATTAAAATAATAATTCCATCAAACCTCAGGGGAAAGTTGTCTTTTCTTAAACCAATTATGAAAGTATGACTTGCCAATGTCTTGCACGCTGTTAGATTTTTATTTTGTTTGGTACGGATATTGAAGGAGCTGGATGCATGTTGTAATCATTCGTTACTTTTCATTATTGATTCCTCCTGCTAATGTGGCATGCCATGTAGCTTCAGCGTAACACTTATTTTGTTCACATTTTCTTTCCTTGAAATTTCCACAGTATATAAATAACCACACTGAAGTACTGTAGCAGAAGTACTGTAGTTAAAACTGAGAATTTTTCAGCTTGAAAAGGATTACTTAATAAGTAGGATAAGTTAAGCTAATTATTGGGAGAATAAAAATGTGTTTTCAGGATACCATGCTTTATGCACATAGTGTGGCATTCTTACAATGTGTTACTTTGATCAACAATATTTTTTTCAAATTTGGCATTGTTGAAATATTTACATTTCTGTACAGTACGTCATCTGACAATGTTCACTGAAAACATTTCACTAAAAACTTCACTAAAAAACTTTGCATGCTGAGTTCCTTGTTTTCATTAGTACTAGGGTGTAGTATATTGGTTTTCTTCTGTGGAAAGTTTTGGTTTAGTTAGAGGTGAAGGAGTGCATTATTGAGCTCAGCAATGTTTTTAAATCCCGGGTTAAATTTACAAGCATTCAAACTTCCATGTGCTCTAAAAGGGATAAATAAGAATTATACAAAAGTTTGTCTAAAGTGTTATAAAAAGTGTTTATAAAACTGAAATGTTTATAAAGCAACATTTTGATTGAAAAAAATCTGGTAACATAGGTGTTTTAAATACAGCTTGTAGTGTACTTTTATCTTCATTGTACACAGTGACTTCAAACACTGCTTATTGCCCATGCACATTATTTTGCAACTAGAAGGTACATTGTGACTTTTGTCATCTTCTGAATTGAGGTACCAACCTCCTAAAATTGTGAATTCTAAACTTGATTGCCAGAGCATAGAAGGCATTTGTTTCTTAGCTGTAATACCTAAAACCAAGATTGTGCTTTGCTTTTGTCAAATGCATTCCTGTACAACATTTCACAATCAGCTGAATAAAAAAAAAAATCTTTTTCGTGGAACAGAAAAGGGTAAACTGATGACAGCAAAAAAAAAATCACATATAATGAACAGATTGTCGGTATCAATTAGAATATTAGACTTTATAAAGGAAAATGCAGCACGAAAACATGTTAGTTCAAAATGTGTATCAAAAACCACACACATATTATTTATTAAATTCCTCATGCTGTGCAACTCAGTTACCAGTCACTTCCTGATGTGATATTGCCTGTGACGTCATTTCTTCCACCTCTGAAACTTTGTAGCCAAGGCTTTTAAAAACCCTTTCACTTTCTTGCCAGGTCTTTTGGAAATTCTTCAACAATTCTTCAGGAGATGTGTCTGCAGATATATCCAGTACAGCGATATTCCCTTTCACCACATCTGCATATGTTGGAGGGGCATGTCGGGTTCGAATGCTTTCAGAATGCTGAGCCATAGTTGTTGCACTTCTTGACCCACTTATTTTGTTGCCAAATTTATCAGCACCCGAAAACTGTTCACTCACTGAATTCATTTTAGAGGACACGGTGGGCTCACATGACTCTTCTTGCCTCTCATCCTGTTGAGCAGGCTGAGGGGAATTTTGCTTTGAGCCCTTCTGTGTCCTCAAGGGGAAGGTTTGCTTTGAGCCATCTGCTGTGTGTTCACCTGATGTCAGTCTTGATTCCATTCTCTCATGTTTATTTTTCTGATCTTTGATATGGCAGCTTTGTTCTGTGCTTTCGAACACCGTTTTAATGGCTTTAAGATTGAAAGCTGGCATTTCTTCCGTTTGAGTAGTTTTCCTTTCACCATCATCTTCAGTGTCACTTCCGAGTCTCTCTGCTATAACAATAGGTTTCTTCCTGACATAAACCTTTTGTTCTGGTGATTCGAATTTGTGAACAAGCTCTGACAGGTCTACCTTAGGGACGTCATCTCTTTGATTTTCAGTGAGTTGATCGGAGTCCTCCATTTCAAGACCCAAACGCACCGGAATCTCAATGGGTTCCTTGCGGTTGTACGTTTTGTGCTCTTCTGCTTTTCTAGCTTCCTCATAAAATTCTTTCATGTCCTTGACCGTACCGCCGATCAGCGAGGATTCTGAAGTGGCCGTTTCCACGACGTGCGACTCAATTTTGAACTGCCGGCGGAAGGATGCTGGAGATTCAATGATTTCAGATTTCTTCTCTGTGACCTGCACAGGTGGGGTTGTCTGAGACTGTGATACTCCCTGAGATAGCTTCGCAGTGGTGTCCTTCAGCTTGGCCAGTTTCTCAGCTCGACTGACAGGCGGCGAGGGAGTGGCGGAGGCTCTGCTCATTCGAGATGTTGGGGTATTGGAGCTGCGGGGGGGTGGTGCTGGTGGAGTAGCAGCCCTTTGCATTGTCGTCAGTGGGGGGGAAGGGGCAGCTCTCTGAGGAGACTCAGTTCTGCGGGCTGTGGATTCAATGGTAATATATGAAGGTGAAGGTGAACGCAATCTTACCAAGGGAGAAGGAATTCTCTGATCGATTGCTATTGCTTCATGAAAGTCTTGCTTTCTGCTTTCCTGCCATGTCATTTTCTCCTCCACTACTTCCTTTTTCTTCTGAGTATCAACTTTGGTGGAACCAATATTTATTTTGGATATTTTTGGTGTGGCTCCACTAACAGGCTCATTGTCAGCTGCGTGCAGGCTACCATCAAAATATACAAGTTTTGCGTATGCCTGATTTCTTATGTATGCAGTAATTTCTTTTAGTTTCTGAACAGAACAGTCATCAGGAATTCTCTCCAATTCTTTCCTTTCTTCTTGGCCTATCAACCATTCAGGAACGTTTTCTAGAAAACTCTTTGCTGTCTGTGAATAATTTTGTCCCGGAACTTTCTCAAAATTGTTAATGTGAGAAAGTAGCTGTTGTAACTCTTCCCGTTTTCTTGACATTGCTGCAGTATTCCTAGAAGATATAGGATCTTCCTTATGCATTGTTTTTTTTGTCAGTTTAACTGGGATTTCCCTGGATTCTTCTTTTGCTTGTATTTTTTCATGAACCTTTCCTTGTTTGCTTGATTCTTCTTTTTGTTTTTCGTACGAATGTTGTTGTTTCTGAATATGAGCAGCACCATGCTGCTGGGCAGTGTGCTGAACTGTGCTTTCTGTAATTATTACTTCTTCATGGACTTGAATGTGCTCCTTTTCAAGTGTTGTATGTGTCTTTTGCATAATCCCCTTCTCCTGGACTTGCAATGGTTTCCCAGAACTCAGTGGCTTTGTATCTTTTGGGATTACAGTCACTTTAATAGGTATTTGTTGTTTAATCTCTTTTTCTTTCTTTGATTTCTCCTGTAACTTCTTAATTTGATGCTCCTGCTTGGACTGTGGTGAATCTTCAGGAATCTCGGATTTGTTGTGCTTTTCTACTTTTTCCACTTTAACTTCGGTTTCTGAATGTTGCAGACTGCTTCTTGTCAGCAGGGATTTTTCCTGAACCATGTTCATATCTGGCTTTGAATCTACATGTTCAGCTTGTTCATCTGTTTTTTGCTTGCTTGCCTTTTTCATTTCAACTTGCTGTTTAACACCCCTCTTTTTTTCTTCTGAGCATTCATCTACTTTTGGCACCTTAATTGTTTTAACTTTAAAACTTGGGGTTACTTTTGGAATTCTTGAAGGCTCTACAGATATTTTCTCATGTTCCTGTTGATTAGAATCACTGATTTTCTTGATAGTATTACTTTTTGGAGTGCTAGGACCTTGAGTGAGATTCTTTAATCCCTGTAATATTTCCTGTTTACTTCTTTCATTTTCTGAACTTGTATTCAGGATACTCTCTAGTTGCTCAGCTGCAGAAGACACAATCAGAGTGTTGATATTGGAAGAATCAAGAGTTTCAGTGCAAGAAACTGAAGTGGCCTTTTGTTTAGAAGAAGAAACAGTAGCAATTTGATCAGAAGTAACATTATGTTTTGCAGAAGAAATAGTGGCTGAATTAAAAAATGATTTCTGATTTCCCGCAAAGGTTAAATTGCTGACGGATGTCACTGGCATTCCTGTAGATAGAGATGAATTTAAAAATACTGCTTCAGACTTTATATTCTTTTCAGTTTGCTTGTGAATTACTTCTGACTGATCCGATGATTTTTTTTCTGATTGTTCTTTGAGTGCTACTAAAACAGCCTTTTCAGATTGACTGTGAGGGAATTCTTGGGGTTCTTCAGAACTGGATGGGCTTTTGGGAGTTTGAACTCCTTTCATTTTTTCAGTTTCTTCTCTCTGTTTTCTGTATTTTTCCTCTGCGATCATCAGTGGAGTTTTGAATTTCCTCACATATGGTTTAGGTTTTGTGGTGGGAGGTTCAGTAGTTGGAAATGGTAATTTTACTGGAGGCACAAAGACTCTCTTTGGTGACGCAAGAGGGCTCTCTTCCTGTGGTGCCTTTGGCAATGATTTTCCAGGTAAAGCCTTTGCTGCTGTGAGAGCTAGAGCATCTTGTTGAATCTGCGTTTTTAGCTCTTCCTGTTTTTTTATTTTTTCTTCACGTGACTCCACTTCTGTAGTTATAGTTGAAACTGCTGCTGCGGTTTGTTGGTTTTGGACATGTGACTCTGTCAAAACAGCTGATGTAGATGTTGGGGGTTCTAGATAGGTTTTTATCTTAACTTTGCTTTGCCTTACCTGCTTACTGGGTTCAAACTTTGGGGCTTTGTGCAAAGGAGGTACGTTTGCTGGCTTGACAATAATTTTCTTAGCTCCTTCAGGTGATACATGAGGTTTTTGCAAAGGTATGGAGTCCAGTTCTTTCTGTGAAGGTGGTGGAGGAAGAGTTTCCCGCTCTAATTTGTTTGTAACCATGGAGGGAGGTGATGGTGGAGGCGGAGGGGGGAAATGTTCCATTTCTGGGTGTAAATATTCAACAGAAGGAGGAGGTGGAGGAGGGGGAGGAGGCAGATCGCTGTCCTGCTTCATCACTGATGGCGGTGGAGGCGGAAACATTTGATTGTCAGCTTCCACGACCAGCATAGGTGGGGGTGGAGGAGGCAACTCTGTCTCAGAAGGTGGAGGAGACAGAGGTGGTGGAGGAAAATGTAATTCTGGTTTCACCTTCTTTTTCTCTGGCTTAACTAAATGACCATCCCCTTTTCCTAATTCAGAACTTCTGGAATGTGTCTTTAAAGTTTTAACATCCAGTTTTTTAATACCTGTTTTGTGTTCTGTCACCGTTGTCTCTGTGTTCTTTATTAATTTTGCCTCTTGTATATTCTTAGTTCTCATTACATTCCTCTGTGAATTCTTTTTTATCACATCAGGATGTTCAGCAGTAACAGTTTCAGTCAACTGATTTGTAGTGATTTTCTTCATTGCACTCATAGGCTGAGGTAATGATGCTGATTTCTGTTTCACTGATTGTTCATTAACAGTTTTTTCCTTTGATTGGTGAACCTTATTGCTTATTACAGTTTTAGTCAGAAGAGACTGATCTTCCTGGACTAAAGACTTAATTTTGACTGATTTATTACAGCTTATGTGTTTTTGCTTCCCACTGTCATTCTCTGGTTCAACGTTGTGAACCAGATTTTTTCCAGCAGGGACTTGTTTTACTGTTTCTCCTTCAGACTTAGTTACAACAGAGCATTCATGGATTCCTTGCTGAGAATGTAATGAAGTTTTCACTGCGCCTTTTACATTTTTAGAGTCATCAGTATTGAGCTCAGTACTGGTATGTTGTTTTCCTTCCCTCAGACTTTTTATTGTACCCTGTACATCTCCTTTTATCACAGTCTCCTTTTCCATTTGGGTTGGTTCTTGCACGTCATAAAGCGATCTAATTGTATGTTTCACATCTCCTTCTGTACTAGGTCTGCGTTGAGTTTTTGCAGGTGTTTTTGGTTCTAGTAATGCCTGTATAGTGGCTTTCACATCACCCTGCACACTCACTTGGTGTTGCACAACCTTCTTTTCAGCTGAAGCTCCTAACAGATTTTGCATTGCAGACTGGATGTCACCTTTGACAACTTCTTCTTTTTCCACCTCCTTCACAATATGCTGTGCTTCCTCCAATGATTTTAATGTGCCTTTGATATCACCGTGTACTAAATCTTCCACAATAATTTCAATTTTCGTATTCACTGATTTTTCCAGGGACTCGAGTGCTCCTTTAATGTCACCTGGAACAACCTCCAGCTTTTCAAGTTCCTTAGCTTGATTTTTTGCTTCCTCAAGAGATTTTAAAGTTGCAGGTATATCGCCTTTCACCACTTCTTCCTTTTCAATAACTGTTGTTTGGTGTATGGCTTGCGATAAAGAGTTTAGAGCTGCCTTTAAGTCTCCTTTTATAATATCCTCTCTCTGAACATTAACCAGCAGATTTTCAGGCTCAGTCATGAACACCTTTACTGTGTTATGTACATCCCCAGGAACAATATCATCTTCTGCAACTGTGCGCTCAATTTGAATTTGATTCTTTTTCAGAAGGAGTTTTGTCCCTTCCACATCACCTCCAATTATTTCCTCTTCTCCTCTCTGCTCAGGAGGAGTGTCTTCTGGATCTGTTTGGAGTTGTCTGAGGTAGTCCATTGCTCCTGATTCTATGCATGTTGTATAAAAGCTTACATTTCCTCTTTCCACCTCATTTATTTTTATCTTCCTAGAAAGCTCTGGACTATCTGGAGTTGAAAGAAGATTGTGGATAGTACCTTTTACATTACCTTTTACTATGTCTTCATTCTTAATGGTCGCTTCATCTTTTTTATTAAGAAGAGAGTATATAGTCATCCTTACATCTCCCATTTCATCTTCTTGAATCAAAATACCTCGCTTTGTAGATTTGTCTTCCACGAGCAGGTTGTTGATGGCTTCCTGAATGTCTCCCTTAATTATTTCTTCTTTTTCTACATTGATATCTGTCTCTCGATTAAACAGCTGTGCTACTGTTGTGTTTATATTGCCCCTTTCCTCTTTGTCTATTATGATCCCCTTTTCTGTTGTGTCCTGTTTATTCAACAGATTCATCATTATATTTTGCAAATTCCCTCTTATGATTTCTTCTTTTTGAATTTCTGGGGTTTCTTGATTCATGAGGTTATATTTTGCCATCCTGACATCCCCGATTTCATCTGCTTCGATGAGTATTCCATGTGTATCAACAACTTTGTGAGAGTATAGTTCATTCAGGGTCTCTTTGATACTTTTACCAACAATCTCAGTCTTCTCAACATGACTTTCATTAAATTCATGGAAGGGTGTTGTTTCAAAAAGCCATGTTGTCGTCTTTACATCAGCTTGTGGAATTTCTTCGCGTGTAACAACAATATCTGTTCCATCTGTTTCCTTTATAGTATCGAGAGGCTGCTTTTCAAAGAGCCATATAGATTCTTTGACATCTCCCTTCAACACTTCTTCCTTTGTCACTGTCTTGATTTCACTGTAATCAGAACCCTCACCCTGTATTTCATCCATTGTGTGTGTTTCAAATAGCCACGTAGCTGTTCTAACATCACCTTTTTGGATTTCACTCACACTTACTGTCCTCACAACTTTTTTCTCATCCAGCTCCTCCGACTCAAAGAGCTTCTTGCTTGTTTTTACGTCTCCTCCTTGAATATCATCAACTGTTCGAGTCAGAACTTTCACATCATCTGCAATTTCATCTAGTGATTGTGTTTCGAACCGCCACCTGGCAGAGCTTACATCTCCTCTCTGAATATCTTCCTGAGTTACAGCTTTGAGAACATACACTTCATCTGTGTCCTTAATTGAGTCTAGAGGCTTTGTTTCAAACAGCCATCTAGCACCCACTACATCTCCCCGCATCACTTCTTCCTTTGTTACTGTGGTCACCTCATGGAAGTGGCCTTCTTTGTCTTGAATAGCATAGAGTGGCTGTGTTTCAAAAAGCATAGTATAGTTCTTTACATCTCCTCTTTCTATTTCTTCCTGTTGAACTGTCTTTATCTGTTTCAATGTCTCCGAGGTCTCCTCGTGAATTCTGTCTAAGGAAAAGGTCTCAAAAATAAAACAACCATTTTTGACATTGCCACCTTGCACATCTGTGACTGTGCGTATGTTTTTATGTTCTTCAGGATTTTCTTTAATGTTTTCTATAGGTTGGTTTTCAAAGAGCCACATGCAGTTGACAACATTTCCCTTTTGGATGTCTTCAGCCTGAATGCTCTTCAGTTTCTTCATTGTTTCTTCAGAGGTCGAACTAAATAAATCGGATGATTGGTTTTCAAATATGCATTTCATCCTTGAAACATCTCCAGACTGAACGTCTATCTCGGTGACCCTCTTGAACACCCTACCATCTTCTCCTTTAATATTCTCAAGGTTCTCAGTCTCAAAAAGAAAACGGGCCATTCGGACATCCTTCCCTTGAACATCATCCTGTCTCACTGTGCACGTTTTTAGAACAGTCTCTGATTCATCTTTGATTGCGTCTAGCGCCTGTGTTTCAAAGAGCCATGTGCAGGTTTTAACATCACCTTTTTGAATTTCTTCCATTTCACTCTTTGACTCAGCCTTTTCATACAAGACATCCATTGGTTGAGTCTCAAACAACCACCTGCATGTCTTAACATCCCCTTTCACAATTTCATCAGTTTCCTTTGTCTTATTTTCCCCATCATCTATGTTACTAAAATACTTGATGGAATCAAGAGGTTGAGTTTCAAATAACCACTTAGCTGTTTTAACATCACCCGATTGTATCTCCTGTTTGGATATTCCTTTAATTATCTGGAATTTATTAATACTTTCATCAAACTGATCAATAGGACGTGTTTCAAACATCCATTTGCAGCTTCTTACATCACCTTTTACTATTTCTTCCCTTCTCACTGTTTTCACCTCATGGTACTGTCCAGAGCTGTCTTGCATGGCATAAAGTGGAGCAGATTCAAAGATAACTCTATTTGACTGTACAGAGCCACTGGAGACACCTTCTACTTGTATTTTCTGGGATTCATCGCATCGACTTAAATCCACGGTTTCAAAGATTTTCTTGTAGTTCCTGACATCCCCTTTATCAAGTTCCTCAACTTTCACAGTTCGTATGAAATCCTTCTTCTCTTCTCTGATGTTTTCAAGTGGTTGACTCTCAAAAACCCACTTTTGATGTCTTACATCCCCACGTTCCTCCTCTGAGGCAACTACCTTTTGAAGTTTTCCGACATCTGGACTATCCTTCAAAGCATCCATGGGAATTGTTTCAAACAAATATCTTGCTGATTGCACATCACCCCTAACAATTTCTTCAGTGGGTATGGGTCTAGTATTTGAATTGTCTTTCAAAGAATCCATAGGCTGAGTTTCAAAAATCCAGCACTGTTTGCGAACATCAGCACCAATTATATCCTCCTTTTCCAATTTAGAACTTTCTGATTCTTCTCTAATACTGTCAAGGGTCTTTGTTTCAAATAACCACCGTCCTCTGTTTACACCCCCTTGAATGTTATCCTCCATAGAAACACCACAAACAACCTTGACCTGAGTGGCATCTTTATTTATCATGTCTAAAGGCTGAGTTTCAAAGAGCCATCTTGAAGTTCTGACATCTCCTCTTTCTGTTTCTTCTCTACGAACGGTTGTAATCTCAAGCATTTCACCAGCGCTGCCTCTGATGACACATAGAGGTAAAGTTTCAAAAAGCCTGGTCGTTGTTGTCACATCTCCTTTGATTTCTTCAAGTTCAGATTTAAGCTGCAGGAAGTGATCTTCATCAATTGTCTCAGTGTGGCCTAGAGTGTCTAAATGCTGTGTTTCAAATAAGTACCTGGCAGTTTTGACATTGCCTCCAGTAATATCTTTTGAAATTGTAACGTCTGTGGCTTGTTCGTCCTCTTGGTAAATTTTATTCAGAGTGTCCAAGGGCTGTGTCTCAAAAAGCCATGCTGCAGTGCGAACATCTCCTCTTGCTAACTCAGGAAATTTGGCAGTTTGTTCGACAGAATCTGGGGTGCTGGCACCTAATGCATCAATAGGCTGAGTCTCAAACATCCAAGCAGTGTATTTGACATCTCCTCCTGCAATGATTTCCTGTTGAGAAATGTTTCTGGCATTTTCCTGATCTGGAGATTCATCCTTAATTGAGTCCAAAGGCTGGTTTTCAAACATCCAGCGCATAGATTGTACTTCACCTTTTAGAATTTCATCCCATTCAAGATATTCGCGTTCTGGGCTCATACACTTATTGGGACTGTGCCCAGTGTTCTCAAAAACATATCTGGCCTGCTGGACATCCCCTTTGACTTCCCCTTGACTTTCCACATGATGTATCTCTGTGAAATCACTAAAATAATCTTTCTCTAAATTCTTCCTGACTTCAGGGTGAATATGTTTATACAGGCGTTTTAATTCATTAAGGTTACGCTGTTTGGAATATTCCTCTTTGGGAGCTGTATTTTTTGATGGATAAGTTGGGGGTTCTGGAGAATAAGAGGGTTCTACCAATTCAGATGGTGCCTTCAGTAAGTCTGGTGGTGGTGGAGGGAAATATTCTACTCCCTCAAAATTTCTGGCAGAAGCAGAATCAGACACTGATGTGTATCTTGCTCCTTCAACCTCTCTAGTTGTGGACGATGTTTCACAAATCCTGCTTGTTGAGGTTCTAGAAGAGGTATTTAAAATTGGTGGCCATTGGATTTGGTTGAAATCATGATCAATCTTTTTAGAAAAAAAGAAATTAGAACAGAAAGCATTTATATTTCTGTAGGCAAAACAGCAAATCACAAATGACTTAATTTTTGTCTTCAGAACAAAATGTGAAATATCTTGTCTTTTTATTATTTACATTTGTGCTGCTACATCTTTAATATAAAGTAATTAACATAACATATTAAAAATGCTGTACATCTCTTACCTCCAGTAAAATGTCTGGATTTCACAAATTTCAGGTGTGTCAAGTTTTATATACTGTAATATGATCCATGTTAAATTAAAAAGGATAAAACAAGAATTTAAAATTAAGCTAGAAGTGAATATCCCAGGGGAAAGCAAATGTGACCAATAGAAAAAATGTAAGAATAATACATAAACCAATTAGATTTGAATTATCACAGGCAACAAAGATACATACTTTACAATATTTATACAACAGAATGAGTTTAAACTTTATAAAACAAACTGAGTTTACAGTGCTCTTTATTCTGTATATATGTTCAATACATTGCATTTCACTTTGAAATGTATTAAGGTTATTTTGTATTTTAACTGGGAAATAAAAAGGCTATAGAAACTGGAAAAGCTGTATCCTTTTTATACTGCTATTCTACTGAATTAAGAATTATTCTATTTATTGTTTGACACTAATAATAATCTAAGATTACAATTATACCTGTAAAACAGTTTCAACAGAGATAATAATTATTGCATTTAAACAGTGTTTTTAATCTCAAAGAACCTCAATGTACAGTATCATATACAGTATAGTAGGGGATTCATTTAATAATAATAACTGATTATAATAGCATTAAATTCAATGTGTTCCATCATGTTTTATTTACTTAAATGGAGTTAAAATAATTTTACATTGCTTCATAAAGCTATTATAATTGAATTTTGTATTGAAGGGGTGTTAATTCATCCACAGTAAATCAAATGTGCTGTTGAAACTGCAGTAGTAAATTTTTTTCTTGTAACTTTTTCATTCTTTCAATATTGTAAGGAACTTGTACTGGATTAAAGACATGTTAAAAGTATTTTCTGAAGAAATTAAATATTTGTACATCCATTCCCAAGCACCTAATTACCTTAATGTGTTTGCTTGGAGTCACCTCCACTTGTACTTTTTCTTGAGCTGGTTTTTCAAACTGCTGTTTCAGGACCTGAGTTGAAATCTTTGGTAACTCTTCTCCTGTGATGATTTTCACTGAAAAGGGGTAATTGAAAAACAGACAAAAATAATTTGCTAGAGACAATAACATCCAAAAATGTATGCTTTGTGAATGTTTAGAATACTTGGTGAGATAGGTTTGACTTAACCCACTTGGTCAATGAATAGCCTAATGGCCATAGGATGAGGAGACTCAAACCCCATTCAGACTGAGTGAACCCAGGGGCAGCTGCAAGGTGGAGATGGGATGGAGAATGGACGCTTGAGATGAATGTGAAGGGACATGTTTGTGTTTGATGCGTTTAGCTCATTTCTGTTATGATGGTGATTAGGAACAGCTGAGTGAGATTGGCTTGTCGTTGTTGTCCTGCCTGAACTTCATTTAATAACTTCCATTTAGATGTAATGCAATCTAAAGCTGCCTTTTACATAACTTATGGACATGTGACCCAATATCTTAGAATTAATATTATATGCTAAATATGAGAGCTATTACTTGATTAATATTAGAGTGCAGTAATTTAAGCACACAGAGTACATGAGCACCTCTGATTAACAGACAAAGTTCTTTAAGTTAGTTTTGGTAGAGGTGTTAGTGGGGCCAGCAGGGGGCGCTCACCCTGCGGTCTGTGTGGGTCCTAATGCCCCAGTATAGTGATGGGGACACTATACTGTAAACAGGCGCCGTCTTTCGGATGAGACGTAAAACTGAGGTCCTGACTCTCTGTGGTCATTAAAAATGCCTGGGCTATCCTCGAAAAGAGAAGGGGTGTAACCTTGGCATCCTGGCCAAATTTCCCATCGGCCCTTACCAATCATGGCCTCCTAATAATCCCCATCTATGAATTGGCTTCATTTACTGTGCTCTTTACCTCACTAATAGTAGATGTGCAGTGAGCGTTCTGGTGCACTATCACTGCCATCGCATCATCCAAGTGTGGGTGGTGCACATTGGTGGTGGTGGAGGGGAGTCCCCATTATCTGTAAAACGCTTGAGTGGAGTGCCCAGAAAAGCGCTATATAAGTGTAAGCAATTATTTAAATTATTATTATTTAGTATAAACATGGGAAAGAAAACATACTCTCTAGTAGAGAACATACAGCTCATAAATTAAAAATATTGGTTTCAATATTCATTAGTTGTGTTTTTTATGTGTCTCAGGATACAGTATATACAGTAAAGTACATACAGTGCGTAGAGACTAATATCATACCTGTTTCATCATAATGGTTTTCATAGCCAGAAGCCAGGCTGCTTTGGTGAACACTCTCATCAAGTGAGACCTATAACGAGTTTTTAATTAGATGTCATTATATGTAAGGAGAATTTATAGAGACCTGAAATCTCACATTAACAATACCTATTACTTAGACACCTTTTCCTCAAGGTATAATTACTGAGAGCTGAAAACTGAGGATGGATTGTCGAGAAACAATATCTTCAAATGAGAGGAAGAAAGCAATTTTTTAAGAGCTATAGCTTTTAACTTCAACTATGATCTCCAACGTATTAACTTTACTCTGATGTTTACACCATAGCAACAAGATAAATTTTAGCTCATGTATGTCTTTTGCAGTGATAAAAAGTCCTGAAATACACAATTTACTGGAATGACTCAAAACCAGACTCTTGACCAATACTTAAAACAATAACACCGTGCTTCTCTTTTTAAGTTTAATGCACAATGAAATGTGAATCCTTTGTCATATTTCTTTGTATCATTTAAGTGGTCTCCTGAATGTCATTAAGTGGTTTCTGTGTGGTAATTATTAATAAAGTTCTGTAATGTTATAAAAAACACAACTTATCTACTGTATACTGACAATTTGCTTTTTTCCATTTGTAAAAAATATTCCTCATTGGAAGGTATCCAGTTTGAAAAAAGCATCGTCTGATTTAATGTGCTTTTAATTCTAGTTTATCCTTATTAGTTTATCAATGCTGCATAGTACCTATTTAATTATATATTTTATTTACTCATTATTGGTTATAGCAATTGCTTATGTCTAGTTCTTATTTTATCTAGCTTACCCACCCTTGATCTCAATATGCTGCCAATTTTGCACAGAAATGAAAATATTTGATAAGACGTAGACTTGTGGGAATAATTCTTGTCAAGAAGGTATCTGTATATTGCACAGTAGATATGATTTCCAAGTTTTAGCAAGTGACAAGGCTCTATCTGAACATTGATTAAGGTGTTAATATTCTCTCTACTAAACAAGGTTTTAAAAATCTATTTGTATAAAGTAAGACTTTACTAAGCACCTTTCAATATTATTACAAGTCTTCTTTCTTTGTTGAAGTCACTGCATGCCTTCTTGATCAAATCATTTCATGCTCCATCTGTTGTCTTTACAATACCGCTCTGTGCATAATGTGTTTACATATCAAAGCCTTGTCCACTCATCTTTTTTGCAACTGTTACCTTTTCATCCTGAACAAAAGACACCTGGTGTGTTGATGGAACATTCTCTCTCAGCTCTGCCCCGGTACTGCTCTTCACCATAACCTCAGATGTACTTGACACTTCCTGTGACAGAAAAAAATAGCTGTCAGACGCTGTAGAGGACCACTTGTTTATTTCAATGCTGCTAACAGCGGAACATTATTAGCAATGCAAGTGGGACTAATTAATGTTTAAATTGAAGAAGATAAAAATGCTTCAATGACACATTTTTTAAACGATAGCTTGCTAATTATGAAAGCCGAAAATAATCTGGCAATAAGATATTATTGCTGTGCAATTTCAGCATTACATACTCAGGACAGTGATTGTTTTAGTAACCAAATGCACAGTTTTTAGTTTCTTTCTTTAAATATGTTACTTTTTAAAGCGGACTTGTGTCTATACAGCTTAAAAAATTAGAATAAAGCAAATATCCAGAATGTAAAACGAACCTTCAAATTTGAATGCCAAGTAATTGCTGCAACAAAATGTGCATCATTTGATGTTTTCAATTCTTACATTAAAGCTGTTCTTATCATCTATTTGTATTGCACACAACAACGTATGTCCATTAGCTAAATTTAAAAATGGCAGTAAATGGCAGCCTTCTTCAATAACCCATTCCCTGCAATTTAATGATCCTGTTACAAGAAAAAAAACATGATCACTCTGGAAACTTGTTTTTTTTTTCAATTCAATATTCATACATATCTTTGATCACTGACTGTAAATGTAAGCAAGTGGGAAATTAAACGTGATTTAAACTCTGCAGGAGAAATAATGAATGCAGAAACAGAGTCAGTGGATGGGTGGGTGACTGAGAGGAAAGGTGGTTAGAATTTATCTTTTATTGCTAGATGTTCTCCTACAGCTCATATTTGGACTTTCCATTTCTATATCACTTGTATTACAATATTCTTAATTACCTGTACAGATTTGTGCTGGTAATGGAACTGGGTAACTGTTCTGTGTGAAGATCCAATTTCCTGGCTCTCAAATTGTTTCTTCACGCTGGCTAGCCCTCCAGGCAAAGAGCAAGCTTCAGACTCCTCCACAGCCTAATGAAGCAGTGAAAAGAACATTAGCTCCCTTCACTTTATATGGAAAGAGAATGCAATTGATAGACTTAATATTGTACTTAGCTCTGTTTGGCTTTGGTGACATTCTCTCACATTAAACACTACTGTATATTAAAAATATATGCAGTGGCATCTCTCCTATAAATTAACAATGTTAACCAAGCTACAAGTGCTGGTGTTCACTGAAAGTTTAGGAGTTGTTGTGTTATTTAAATGCAAAGAGGCTGGTCCTGTCTATGATAGGACCAGCCTCTGAATTTGATACATATCTGTCCTTCATACAGCATGTTGATGACAGACCCAGGCATTATCTACTGTATATTAATAATTGCTCCCAGGCTTATCCTGCAGGGGGCACAAATAGTACATTTTGCTGTACCAAACTCCATTTGAAGCTCTCCTTTCTGACTCGCATAGATTTCACTGCAGGAGAGCAGTGAAGCCTAACTTTGGTCACATTTTGTCATACAACAAGAAGGTAAAATGTTTTTGTAAGCTTGCCTAATTCACAGTATTGCAATGTGATTAATCATTTTTATGCTCCTATTCTGTGCCCCTATAATATGCTATTTATATGGATGATATCTCTATCCACGTTAGGGATCTCCTGACCATACTGAACAATATTATCACGCTTCATCATCTGCAAATCATATGTTTAGAAATAAAAAGCACATAGCTTTTTATTAAACTTGCAAATGACCCTGCTTTCCATTTTCTTGCAGTACTTTGTAAACTTATAGGAATCAACCAGGTGACAAGCTTCAAAGAGGAATTTCAAATATTTCAAATGGAAGCTTATTCTTTGCACGTTTTCTAAAAGATACTGTCCCTGATGTACTGTAGAAACAAAGATTTGCTGTTGATCTGCATGTTTCCCAATAAAGAAGATTTAGTCAAATATTTAATAGTAGGTCTAGTATGGCAATTAAATTGCGCTGACCAGCTAGAGATTAAAGGAACATAATCTTACTGTGCTGGAGGTGCTGGCTGCCTCCTTCTTGGAGACAGCTGCCTGATACATGGCCAGCCTTTCCTTCAGTGAAACAGTCTCGTTGTTGCTATCCAATAGTGTGCTGCTCCTCCCGTTTGCAGTTTCCTCTGGAATTCCTGTGCCTGATTTGTCTGTGCTGCCAGCAGCTAGAAACAAATATAATATATTAATAAATGGCTTGTACTGCAATACAATGGTCAAGTAAAGAGAATTAGGAAAACCGATCAAGACATATGTCGTGTTTACAGTATATCTGATGCTGTTACAAAAACAAACTCTTCAGGGTATTTTTGACTTATAAAACAACCCCAGTCTAAAACAAATCCAACTTGCTTCATAGCTGACCACAACTCTGGAACTAAACGTTTAGTGGGTGACATTATTAAAGCTTTCTCATTAATGGAGTGAATTGCTTGACACTGTTACCTGAAATGAAGCTAATGCAGACTAATTTAGCTAAAATCTGTTTAGGAAAACATTTATATGAAAATCTTTATGGAACAGAGTTCAACCATTGAACTCATTATATGCTTGCTGTTTCTGAATGAAGAAAAACACACATCAATCACATCACTTCCACTAAAACAAAATGCCCACACAGTAAAACAATTACTTAAGCACTGGCAAATCACAGATGAGAGTAGAATGTTTATATGTAGCTAAGGGCCTAACAAGGAATTTATATTCTTAGATATTTTTGGAACAGATGATAGCTTTGCATTACAACTAATTAAAGAGGTTAGGATGAAAGTATATTTATACTGCCGAGTTTATATAAGAAAAGTGCTGATTTTCAACATTGTGCCTTTTCCCTAAATCATTAAATGACAGTATGGCTTAGTTACTGAAGCTCTGGTGACATACAGAAAATTGTATTGTCTCAGTATAAAGCCATGACATCATTTGTAGGTGATTCAGTTCTCTAAAAATCTCCCTTCTATACATAGTGAGTAAAAGAAATTTATGTCATGAGCTGTTGACAGACAATTAAGCTTCACCAGCAAATTCAAGAATCAAATGTGCTAGCTGATCTTAAAAATATAATACAACTCTTTAGATCAAATAAGAACATATTGTTTTAATCTGTCATTTTTTCTTTGAAGTCCGTTTATATTTATAAACAAACATATAATTAAAGAATATGAAAGTGTCACTTCAGAAACACATGCTAGCAAAAAGCTTGTCAACCACAGAGGGTTTGACTTCCAGATAAGTACATGGCTAGGCCATACATTCGTACAGAAAACCAGAAGTTTAGTGAGAAATACATTTCACACTATTAGTTGAACATTTCTGTGAGATAATGGCAAAAAAACATTTTTGCAAAGTAAACAGCTGTTGCTCATTGTTCTCCAGACCTCTCAGATTGTCAGTACTGCAAGCACAAAATCCACTTATAAGGAGTGATAAGATTTAAAATGAAATGACTTTCCATTGTCATGTTTTTTACTTGCTCTGTAACACCCCATTCCCTTGTGTCAAAAAAATCAAATGAAAATTTATTGAAAATACTTTGATATTGTAAACAGTGTCATCACAGAAAACACTTATATTTGCTGCACTATTTGTTATATTACTGAAATGCATTGTGGCATTCTGGGTACAGGTATTACAATTTAAGCAGAAATGCACAGTAAGTTTTAGATGTAAAGGTTAATTGCGTTGCTAGACTTAGGGATAGTTTTTGAATTCTTACATATACTTAAATGTACATGGTACAAAACAATGATAATCAACAACATGTGCTGTTTAAATGCAAAGTTATAAGCATAAGTTAACATGAGGCATGAATAATCATCCAGTTCTGTGCAATTATGACACTATAATTGTGTCCATACTTTGTTTCCCAGCTGAATTAGCCAGGTTGTGCCTAATAAGTACTGGGATAGGAGGGATTGCAGCTGGATAGGTAAGTGCTGTTAGCTAGACCAGTTGGTGGCACTCTATTCTCTTGAAATGTCCAAACCAGTGTCCCTGTATGGTGACTGAAGTAATTTTGCTGTAGAAGATGCCATTAAACAGGCATTAAACTGAGGTCCTGGTTATTAGGTTATTGAAGCAGTTTCTCATGTCTCTAGTCTCTACCTCACATGTTCATTTAGTGGGGCTGCTGGCACATAATGACTATCAAGAGTTGCCCAGGAGGGTGCTACACTTTGGGACAGTACAGTAGCAGTAGTTTGGGACACCTTGATATTAAAGCGATTAATTAACACCTTTACTTAATCATGAAAGATGATAGTCAATGAGGAGAAGACATTTGAATTATCTATGCTATTATTATGTCTGGCATTTCTACTGCAATTGGTAAGAAATTTCTTACTAGTAACTTGGGAAAAGGACTGGGAACAATTTATTACTTGAAATAAGCAACATTCAAATGCTTTTTAGATGTATGTTAGAACTTATCCTCCAAGTATTAATTACCAAATCATCCCCATTAAGAAACCAGTCTCTGTTAGTGTGACACATAATGAAATAAGAAATTCATTCACTTTAAATTCAAGATAAATTAACACATGCGTGGTAGTGTTAATATTGATTATTCTTCAATTCTGTTTTTTCATCTAGTCCACTGTGTAGACTAAAGAGCACAGTGTTTGGACATCCTTTGTACTGTACATGACACTTAATATTATGAAACAATTTGGATGATGAAAAACGTTTTACAATCTGCAAAATTAAAATGCCTGTCAAGCATTTGGTTTTAAATATATACGTAGGCACACTATATCTGTCTTTGTTTCAATACAGAAGATTTAAATTAAAATCAAGTCCACACTATACAGCACATACTGTACTGTACTTTCACATTTTCTATTTAAAAGCCATGCAATATGGCCTTTTTTAAAGGCATTGATCAAAATAAAAATAAAAAATACAGTACAATCCCTTTGTGTCAAACAATTAGCTTATGTCTGTTGTTCCAATAACGTAAACAGAAATTGTTCAAAGTTCTGTACGACACAATGAAAATAAAAAAGGGTAGTTTGGTTGTAGGATAATTTTCAGGTATATAGGCTGCCTTAGCTTTAAACAAGTGTTATTGACAAAATCCCAACAGTCATTTAAATGTTCAAACTGAAACATTCATTTATTGACTGCTTCAAGTGTTTTAAGGGAATGAGAGAAAATACTGTCATTGTCTTATTTTCCACTTTTTGCTCTACAACACTGAAGTCCTCTTACAACTACATGTTGAGTTCTACAGAAGCCTCTCTAGCCAAAAAAAGAACTTTGCACAATAATACTTAATACGATTCAATTACAAAATCTCATTGATGATTGACATTTGGAAGATAATTTACACCATGTGATGAAACTATGTTCCCTTTAACTACCAATTTTAGAGTCCTAGCTATGGTTAGCATGCTGGTGTAAACTTAGCACCCTCTTACCATGAGATGTGTGACTAGCACAGCAAGCTCCCAAAATAAATGGGGTTCTTCCCAGCCCAGTTTTTAAAGACAGGTCAAATAGTTAGCACCTGAGGTAATTGTGAAATTTAACACATGCTGAAAACAGGAGATAATGTATTCATTTATTTTATGGGATCAGTGACTCTGGCGTACAGGCAGGTTTAGCAGAGAGACTGACATTTTCATTCTAAAAATGTGCAACTACAATCCTTGGATATCTCATGACGAGCAGTAGTGAGGCAAGAGATCACATTACAGGAAAGTGAGGTAATAGCGGCGCCAACTCGAAGTTAAAAAATAAATCAACCTTATTTTAAACTGCTTTAGCCATAGACTCATGTTCCCTTCCTGGTGAGACAGGCACCATTATGAGCATTCATTGAAGGAAAACAAAAGTATTTAAATCAGAAACTAAGTTTTATTTAGTCAAAATAAGAGAATACTTTTTGGTACACTTTTTTTAGTTAAAAACTCTCTTTTGTTTCCAGACAATTTGTCAAACTTTGAAACGCTGTTTATTAACATACAGTATACTGTATGTAAGAGGCTGTTCTATTCTCGATTACATATGCAGCACTGTATTCAAATGGAAGTTATTCAATAATAACCTTCCTAATACTGTATGTAAGAGGCTGTTCTATTCTCGATTACATGTGCAGCACTGTATTCAAATGGAAGTTATTCAATAATAACCTTCCTAATAATAATAATAATAATAATAATAATAATATAAGAGAATAGTATACCTTATAACAATATTGAATTCCTTTCAATAATGGAATTTTTATTTGAGGGGGCATACAGTTAGGATGTGCTTTTGTCACTAGGATGAAGCATTAATGTGGGGCCCTCTGACAATCTCTCTGATGATTGAAAAAGAGGTAGATATCAGAATGAGGGAGTGTGGTATTGTCTTTGGTATGTATAGAGACCAGCAGTTCAGCTCAGCTGAGCAGAGTCTCCTAACACTGGTAGCGGTTACATGAACAGAAATATAACACTTCAGTGGCAGCTTGCTGCAGGAAATTATTCGAGAAGGAAATCTGGAACGTAAGCCTTCACTTAGTAAAAGCTCATGCCATTATAGGCCAAGAAGTGAATTGCATCAACCCATTAAAATGCAGTTCTGTCAGCAAAATTGAACTGAGATACGTTTTGCCTCTTAAGATTTAAATTGAAGACAATAAACAAAACAATGACTTTCATAAATGAGTCTGTTCCTGTGAGTTATTGCTACTTAACAAGCAACAGCTAACAAACCTCACACTGCCTTGGTCTTTAAACAGGAGATAAATTAGATTATTAGAAATTCAAATATGAAAAAGTAAAAGTGTAGCTGTCATGGTGAGCCAAGTATGACAAGTAAGCAGAACATTATTCATTTATACCGATATGATTTTTTGAATTATTTTCTTTGTGTTTTTATCAACTGTATAACACAAACCCAGTTCAAAAACTCATCAGGCTTTGCATTTCTAATCCAGAAAATAATTTAGTGTATAAAAGCTGTACAAACTATCACATATTGTAAACAGTTCCTCTCTGGTTTAAACATTTCTGTAGAGAAAATCATCACTCTGCAGATCTTCTGACTCTGCAGGTACAGACGTTCCACCAGAGCTCAATTCCCTACACATCACTAACTGTCATGCTTATGTTTAGTGGCCCTTCCTCAAGTAAGATATATTGGTAACAATTCTTAAAATGCTAATAAAGCTTCACTTTTT